ATAGCTGCGTATGAATTACTTTACTTTCTGGTGCTTTCACTTCCAGCGACAGTTGTAAGCACTGTGTAACTGCCTCGAGGGTGCTTGACCATTTTAACACAACGTGGTGCGATCATCCCCCTTGCGCGGAGTGAGGGTTCACCCCGCACAACATGATCTACTCAACCATCATTATGGTTACCGCCCAAAAAAAATAAACGGAGGAAAAAAAAAAGAACGGTAACCTGGTTGCCGAGTTCACGAAGTGAATTGGCTTGTTTTACAACGTCGTTGCCAAGCGACGAAAACCCAACCCCGATGGTAAACACCGGGAGGGGGCGTGGTGGAGAGAAAATGAAGGTCTGGCATTTGAGAGGGGTACGCCTGATAATCTTCCATCACTAGAGAAGTACGCTTGACATGTTGGCCTAAAGTCGGGGTTCAAGCGTTGGGGGTTCAATTAACCACACTAGGCAAGGTACGGACAGCATGGGTGCCACGGGTAGAAGCGACAACGGCTTATCCAATCGCACAGCAAAGACCACCACCACTAACCTCCTTTGCGTTAGTGCTGCATCGCTCGTGGGCCATCGCCGCCGGTATGAAGCTGAAATAACCACGGATCTTCTCTTTCATGACCTCAGCCGGCGACTTGTGCCTCGATATCGGCACGCGGGGAGTGTTTCCCCCCTCACTTCGCCTGGAACGCACGCGGAGTACCAACCCGTAGACAAGGACAGTGATGGGACGCAACATGTCAACCGAACGCCTTACAAATGAGCCGTGACGCCACAAGTCCATTTGCACCTATTGCTGTGCTTGCCGTTATCGTTTGGATCGCGGCAAGAGAGCTGAGGTAGTGGCCTGGGCGATTCAAGTCAGTGATGGCAACGCAGTAAAAACGCAGTCCAGCGACGTCGCCGGCCCGGCGAAAACTCTTCCTACGGGCAGCAATACTGTGGGACACGCATTTCAAGTCCAACGCTACAAGGGGTATTCGGTTCCGCCAGATGCGACGTCCCCGCACCCGCCAGTATCCTCTACATAGAAGGGCGCACCACCGTCACTTGCCATGGGCTGTCCCTGACACACGGGGCCGCAAGTACACGCCATCCCACCTTTCGGCCTTGATCTTGCCATCGCTAACCTTGCCTACGATGGCACGGTCAAGGTCGAACAAGTCTCCCGTCCTGGTCACCAGCTTCTTGAAGGCGCAGTTCATGGATTCCACCCGCTGCGTGGAGGCAATGCCGAGGGTGTGAAGCCCAGGGTGGACAAATGCCGCCCACCTGCCAGCCCGCCTGTTACACGTTACGGCATGGCGCAAGGTTAGGAGACACACAAGGACGAAAACGTCGCTGCCTTACGATGCGTCCTAAGCAGGAAATGTTGTACACGCAGAACAACACTTGGGGTCTGCTTCCATCGCCTTCCGAAGGCTACCATGTGTAGCGGTGCTTACCCTGGGCTAAAGATGTCTCCTGCCATGTACTTATACATTCTGCTCTCAGGGTCCAACATCGCGAGGAGCTCCGTTTTTGCCTCGAAGAAAGTCTGCCAGAGCGAGATTTCGCGGAGCGTGCGAGGGAGTGTACGAAATGAGGTGGGAGAAAGGAAGCACACATGAAAAACAAGGCATACGGTGTCACCACGTGCAGTAGGAACGTTTGCACTTCACTGTCCCCGAGGCGGTCTTCAACAGGACGGGGGTTGCCGACAATCTGGCGGATTTCACGCAGGTGGGGTAAACGCTATACGTGCTAAACAAGATTTCTCTCACCCCGACCGTTGGCGCGTATGCCGCTGCCTTGAACTTTCGCAGCACTCCCTGGATGACAGCCTGCGGAAGTCCCTTCCCATGCTCCTTCACGTTCTGCTCCGTGTGCCAGTAGCACAGCTTGTTAAGCGCCCCCGGAAAGACCTGCGCGATGGCCGACATCTCTGACTGATCTGTGTCCGTGAAGATCACCTACTTCGCCACGGAAGTAACCACGCGCGGGCAGGGGACACAAGACATTCAGGGGAATGCATGACGTATGGCTGTTTCAAGATGTAGTTTAGTGTTGATCGAATGGGGGTATTTCGCGCTATTTGTTGGGGGCACGTGGCCATCCTCGTCTCACCCTCGCTACCGCTCCACAGCGTCACACCGTCGTTTTACCTGTGGGCTGCTTCCGCGGATTAGCTTCTTGAAGGACTCCATCAAGAACACGAAGGATTCGCCTCTCGGTTTCCAAAAGCGCCTGCATCGCAATTTGCGTGAGGCTCTCCTTGTCTACCACCACTATGAATGCCAGCTTGTGGTTATACCTGGTGGGGGCAGACGTAAGACAGCGGCACAAAGCACCAACGTCGGGCATGGCGCGCC